TTCCAGCCCTAATGTCTATGAAATCTATGAAACTGCATTCACCAATTGCAATAGCTGAAGGCTGGGAAGAAACCACCCAGCACAGAGATTTCACAGCAGGTAATGTTTCCTTGTTTAGCAGGAAAAAAATTGATCTAAACAAGAAGGGCACTCAAAATGTTCAAGACCTTCATGCTGCCACTGCTGAGCCTGTTGATGGTTCATGACTGCAGCGAGCACATACATAGTGAATGTTCAACCAACCTCCGCAAAGTGGTAAGGAAATAAACACTTACTTGAAAGAGATCCAGAAGGGGTTTCCAGGAAAGCATTAGCACCGCAGCCTTGTTTACGGTTTTGGGAATTTCTGAATAGAACAGTGTGTTCTCTCTGTTCTCCCCAGACATTGCTAGAGAGAGGGAAAAAAGATTCACGTCTCCATTACTGAACATTAAGCAATCTCAGCAGATGACAAAGAAACCAAAAGACACAACAGTGTCACCAAAAATCACCTTCCATAAGAGGAACAAGTGGCAATTTCTGCACTGGCACATCACTCAGAGAGGGCAGGGGAGTGTCCTGCTCCACTAGACTGCAAGAAGGGAAGTGACAGAGGGAGCAGCTGTAGATGGAGGTATGCCACTGCTAAAATATTTACATTCTCTGGAAGGCATAAAATCAGGCAAGGCTTCTTGACCATTATTCCAAGTTTCTTGCTTGATTACAACATCATGCTCTCTGTATCAGTGAAGGGAGTCACAAGGAGGATGAAGCCCCTCCTCTCCCACCCCACCCCACCCCACCCCAAAGGCAGTTTGAGAATACAGTACATTTTTCATGTTCCACGTTTAATAAGACTTGGGCCTGAGGTTTGGCCCCTGGTGAAGTTAATGAGTGTGTAGCCACAGACTACCAGACTGGACTACTTAGGGATCCTTTCTAACATCCACCCAGCCACACCTGAACTTTTTACCTCCTACCTAGCCCTTGAAGCTCCTCCACGTGAAGCACAAGGGGATATTTCAA